GTAATAAGAGCTAATGTTGCTAATATCAGCTACATGCAGGTAAGAAGAGCTAATGTTGCTAATATCAGCTACATGCAGGTAACGGGAGCTAATGTTACTAATATCAGCTACATGCAGGTAATAAGAGCTAATGTTGCTAATATCAGCTACGTGCAGGTAAGAAGAGCTAATGCTGCTAATATCAGCTACATGCAGGTAAGAAGAGCTAATGTTGCTAATATCAGCTACATGCAGGTAATGAGAGCTAATGCTGCTAATATCAGCTACATGCAGGTAATGAGAGCTAATGCTGCTAATATCAGCTACGTGCAGGTAAGAAGAGCTAATGCTGCTATTATCAGCTACATGCAGGTAAGAAGAGCAGATTCAAAGGGGAGAAACATACATGCAGACACCACTGCATGTAACAACACCAACAGCTGCACCTCCAGCCATCAATCTGTGAAACTCATCACGTATGCAGACGACACCACCCTCATCGGGCTTATCTCAGACAGAGATGAGTCTGCTCACAGGAGGGAAGTGGATCAGTTGGTGTCCTGGTGCAGCTCTAACAACCTGCTGATCAACGCACAGAAGACAGTGGAGTTAACTGTGGACTTCAGGAAAGTCACAGCCCCACCATCCCCTCTGGTTCTCAGCAACTTCTCCATCCCGACTGTGGACTCCTTCTGCTTCTTGGGCACCACCATCAGCCATTAGACTAATGAACAATGTTTAATCAGCTCTGGTCCATCGCTGCCAGCAGCGCTTGTGTTTTTGTTCTCATTCTTCATTTTGTATTCTGACTTGTTTTCCTTCCTCACTTCAACCACTTAGCTTTAGTTCTCTTAATCCTTGCTTATGTGCACCAGAACACCAGAGCAAATTCCTAGTCTGTAACTCATTTACTGACAATGGCAATAAAGTGTTTCTGATTCTGATTCTACATGCAGCTAATATCAGCTAAAACCTGATCCAACAGTTTAGACCTGATCCAGCGGGTCCAGGTCTGGCTGCTGACACGGAGTCCTTCTTCTTGCAGTGTTTGGAGAGAGCCATGAAGTTCTCATTCGATGAATTCCACCTCTGGAACCAACTGGGTCTGTCTCTGATGGCAGCTGGGAAGGTGAGCTCATTATAGTCACACACTGTTTGGTTAGTGGACTGTTCTTATATGTTCAGAAACCATCAAACATCATGCAGCAGAAAACAGAACAATATCATAATACACGTATATTCATACTGACTGAACACAGAGTGGAAGGTCAACAGTTTTTAAAAGCAGACATTGATCAGGTACTGTGCTTTTTACTGACGATAAATGTTGATAGCAGTGGTGGGCACCAGTCCGCTAAAGCGCAAATCCACTAATTGCGGACCTAAATATTTCATTTGCTCTTTAGCGGTCTTACTAATTTTATAATTCATAAGCAGATTTGCACTTTCTAAAATTAAAATACAGGAAATCACATCCCCAGCAATCGGTGGTTGTAGGATGAAGTTGTAAAACAGTTCATACACCACTAGTTGGCAGTGTTGTGTATTTACTGTACATGAATTATTGTCAGCTAATAAGTGTCAAATTAAACTTGTGCTTTAAAATTAGCTTCTGCTAGTTTTTCTATGTCATGTGTTTTTGAGGTTGTGGACCTAAATATTTTCATAACTGCTTTGGAGATTGCAGAGTTAATTTTTGGATTGGTGCTGCCCACCACTGGTTGATATTGAAGTAAACTTACAAAGTTTTAGTGTTTTTAACAAGTTGTTCCTGTCATTGTGTGCAGAAAGAAATACTGTATGAACTCACAGTGATGAACTTATTTAAATTAAATTAAAACTGGTTTCATTTGATCTGTGTCATGTTGTTGTGTGTGTGTGTGTGTGTGTGTGTGTGTGTGTGTGTGTGTGTGTGTGTGCAGTGGGTTGGTGC